ATAGAGGCCTATGGGGTGGGTATTAGAGGGACCTAAGAAAAATTAGAAATGCTTAGAAAAAGAAAAAAAGAAATACATAAGAGGGTCTTTACTGGGGGAGAACTGGCCCATGACATATACCTTCCCAGAACCAATTCGGTCCAGGCCAATTCTGGGTCCAGATCAGCTGTTCTGGATATGGATCGTTGGGTTTAAAACACTGACCTTTAGTCCAACCAAAATTGGTCCAATTATCTCTCAGACTAATTGAGCTAAATTTTTTTAAAATAAAAAATTTAAGAATAATCGTCTAAAAATATTAATAGATTAAAAAATTATCGACTTGTTTAACTAGTCTAATCAACCAAAAACCAATCGGTATGATAAGCTAAGAAATGTCAAACATTGACTTCAACTAAGTTTTAATTAAATCCGATTTTGAATCATGCAAGCCCAGGCAATCCAACCAGCCGGACAGACTTGTTCAGTCTAATCTTGATAACTATGAGGCAATCAAACACCGTCTCTGTTTATAACAACACTTAGAATGGCATCCCACGGGAAGGGAGATCATATATCGGTAACAGGCAAAGTCAAGAGTTTGTTGGCATTCATGCTTGTTGCTCCTTTCTTCCTCTTTCAAATCCTAAAGTCTTCAAATACTTAGCCTAACTTATCTATTTCCTCTTCTCTTCTGTCTAGTTATGTTAGTTTGGGCAAATTTTATTGTCTTTATGTCATTCGAGCTTCTAATTATTAGTGCAGTCTCTAGTTGCGAATACCGGAAAAATATTAAAATTTTCATAAAAGAATCGTAGTTGGTTTGAATTACTTGAATTACACTGTTAGGTTTGTCTTTTTTTTGTTTATTCAAACTCTTAAAACTAGAAGCTCTTGAAAAGCATAGGCTTTCTCCATCAATCAAGCCCATTTCTTACCCTATAAGACTAAAAACCGTTCACTAGAGTTAGAAGAAAACGAAGACCCAAAAAACACACCATTAGAAGACCTAGAGAACCTTCACTATTAGACGCCTCAAAGCTCCGAACCCAAATCCCAATCTAAAGCCTTTTTTTTTTGGGGGTAGTTTAATAGCGATGAGATGTCTTATATGTGGTAGAAATAGAATTCAAGACATCATAGTGTGAACCTACCACCATGACCACCTAACCTAGAGGCCATTATGATCCTAGTCCAAAGCTGAACATGAAACAGAGACTTGAAGATGAACCAAAGATTGTCAACCTTCTCTTAATCCTAATTCGGCTTTGTGTAAATGGTGAGGAATTCGCAGTGTGCGTTAATAAAAAACAATGATAGAAAAAGAGAGAATAATGTTTCAAGAGAGAGAGAGAGTGGAGGCGTTTTCCTTAAACCCGACACGACCGGGAGAGGCATTCCTCCATTGACAATATATTGAACAAATAGGAGGAACATGGCCATGCCGTCTTCAACCCAGCGTTATTTTATTATGATTTCTATTCAACGTTCGCAAAGTTGAACTGGAACAGTTAACCAAACATGGGCTTGGAAGTAGTTTAATTGTCAAACCGGTAAATCGGCCGATTCAACCGTTCTAGCAGGACAAGTCTTGATGTTTAAAAAATTATTGAAAAAAAAAATAAAAACACAAAAATATATATATTAAAATATAAAAAGCATATAATACATGATTTAAACAAAAAATATTCAAATGAAGTTAAAAATTAATAAAAAAATGGATTTTAACGAATCAATTTGTGCCTAAGGATATTTTTTAAATTTTTTAAAAAAGATGGAAAAATATAAAAATGATTATTAATAACCAAAACAATTTTTAATTTTTACCATAATGTAAAGAATATTAAAATATACTTTAAAAACAAAATTCTTTATTTTTTAGAATTTATATACATTTAAAAAAAAATTTAAATATAAACCGATAACCAAAATTGCCCAAAACTAGAACCAGTCACTAGGCGGTTTCAATCTAACTGGGCTGTTAACAGTTGGATCGCCCAGTTTTTGTTCCTGTCCACCACAAAATCAGCGTAAAAATTACATCCACGAGCATTGACGACGGTAAGCAGTCGTAAGAAAGGCTTGGACTCAACTTTCCATGAATTGATTGTGGTGCGGATTAGGGTTTTAAACCCCTGGATTAAGAATTTCCAGCATATGGTTATTGGGCAAGATGCTATACCCAATCCCCCAATAGTTTTTCTTTATCGATACTTTTTACCAAAACTTTCCGATTGAATTGATCCAAATCATTGATCCAGGAATTGTTGATCCAGCCAATGCGCATCGGTACAATGGGTGCGCGATCCAAGAGTTCTGGTTTTTACAACAATTAGTACTAACCAGTGATGCGAGTACGGCACAGGAATCATTGACCCCGTGCCAAAACTTTTTACTGATACTTTTTGCCAAAACTTTTTATTGATGCTTTTTACCATAACTTTCTGATTGAATTGATCCAAATCATTGATCCAGCCAATGCGCATCGGTACAATGGGTGGGCGATCCAAAAATTCCGGGTTTTACAACAATTAGTACTAACTAGTGATTTGCGACTGTGTCGACGTGGGAATCGGTAACTCTGTGTCGATTATTTTGTAGGGATGGGAGTCCGTACCAAAATCGCGGTAACCTCGTGCCGATTATTTTGTAGGCGACACGTAGTAGCCAGCGAATGTAATTTTATTTAATTTTTGTTGAGGTACGAATCCTAACCAGCGTGTGTAATTCATTTAATTTTTGTTGTAACAAAAAAAAAGCAAAAAATAAAGTTTAAAAAAAAATTAATTAATTTTTGAAATCTCTCTCTTTCTATTCCATTTGAAAGAAAGTTTATTTCAAAAAATTTAATTTTTGAAATAAAGTCGTTAAAAAAAATAAAAACATTTATTCCATTTGAAATTTCTCTCTTTCTACTTACAATCTCTTTTACTAAATTTATTCTAGAAATCTAAAAAATTAAAATTTTGAAAAATTAAAATTTTGAAAAATTAAAGTGTTATTTCAAAAATTGTTACACATTCTAATAATTTTTATATTGATAACCAAATCTTTTATTTTATTTATTAATTTTTGCATTAAATTTTTTATAAATGAATTTTTATTAATTTATTAATTTTATTGATGTACTATTTTTCTTATAGTTGTCAATAATATATTTTAAATTTGATGATATTATAAAATATTTTGGATTTGTTATTATTTTTATATTAAAATAATTATAAAATGTAAACCAACAACTTTAATTTCAGTATATAATATTATAGTTAGTTAAGTTGTAATAATTTGGGTTTTTTCAATGGATTAGGGTTTTCTGTCAATTCAAGATTTAAGTGGCCATTTTTTCATCGATTTAATCAACTATTTATTGTAGTCCATATATGATTATATACTTTGTCCATGATAATTCTATGATTTTTCTTTTGTGTGATATAAATTTAATAGTTAACATAAGTTTATAGAGGGAAAGAACATCTCAATATTCACAAATTGATGAAAAAAATGAAAGTTAACAATGTAGTATCCTAATTTCTTATTGGATTTATAAAAGATAATATTTATGATGAATTTTAATAATTTTTTGGATTTCTTTTAAAGCTTAATCCGACCAAGTCTACCGATTTTCGATCCAGATAGCCGATTCACTGATCCGAATGGATTTTTGAATTGCCTGATCCGGGACACCCATCCATTTTTTAAACCATTGGTATTAACCCATCCAAAAAAAAAAAAAACAAAACGAAGAAATAATATTATTCCAAAAGTTATGACACAATTGGCCAATGAAAAGTGGTAAAAGAAAAAGACTTGAAGGCCATATTCTTCAAAAGGAAAAAAAAGAATGAAAAAGAATCAGGGAATCCTTATCAGAGAGCGACATTTACGTGGCCTACAAATACCTCTAAGTCGAATGCATATACCATCTGATGGACCATCCGTCCATAGTTCCCCGTGGCGGATGGTAAGAGATCAACCAAAGCGGGCCCGTGAGGACATTCACATGGGTATATTAATGCTAATCAGATTGGATGTTAGAAGTGTGTCCTTGAACTAGTAGGGCTAGCAATGTGCCGAAACTAGGCTCTCCAGGCCCAGCCTTAGTACCCATATGGCCGTCCGAGGTTGGCCGAGGCCGGGCTGAAGAAGCCCTGGCCCAGACCTCGCCCTTGCTTTAGTTATTTAGGGCAAGGCCACCTGGCCATTGTACCGACCTGTGAAATACTGAATACCATAATCATGTAGACAATGACGTTTTGATATAGTTTCCCTACCTAAAATTTTCAAATAATTTCTCTTTCTAAAATTTTAATATGCTCTTTCTAAAACTTATAATTTAAGATGGTTTCTCTATCTAAAATTTTTAAATAGTTCAATTTTAAATAGTTTCTAATCATCTCAAGTACTTTCTCTATCTAAAATTTGATAGAGCCTCTCTTTAAAGTTTTAAGATATTCTCTTTCTAAAACTTAAAATTTGATATAATTTTTCTCTTAAAAATTTTCTGATAGTTTCTCTATCTAATGTTTGATATAGTTTCTAATCTCTAAAAATTTTATACACTATCTCTCTAAAACTTAAAATTTGAGATAATTTTTCTCTAAATGTTTTGAAATAGTTCCCTCTAAAAAATTTCAAATAACTCCCCTCTTTAAAATTTAATGTAGTTTCTCTCTCTAAAATTTTAAGATTATCTAAAATTTAAGATTTGAAACAATCTCTCTAAAATTTTAATATGATCTCCCTAAAATTAAAAATTTGAGATAGTTTCTCTCTAAATAAATTTGAATATTTTCTCTAAAAACCTCCATATACTCTCTCAATATAATTTCCCTCTTTAAAATTTTAATATGCTCTCTCTTTAAAATTTGAGATAGTCTCTCTTTAAAATTTTAATATGCTTTCTCTCTTTAAAATTTGAGATCGTTTCTCTCTTTAAAATTTTAAATTTTTTTTTGTTCTTTAGCAGTGAAATTGATCATTTCCATGAAATGTCAATTCAACCTATTTTGGTGGAATTAAGATTTCCAAAATTTAAGCTTAAAATGAGTATTCAAGAATCCCACAGAAATCTCGGGCCCTAAAGCTCCATGATCAACAATTCCAAAAAAGCAATTCAGTAAAGGTTCATAAATAAGATGATTATAGATTTTTTCTGTTTTTTTTCTTAGCATAAGCAACTTGCTGCTCTTTTATGTAATTTTTTATGTCTGAAACATTGCCATGCATGACAACCTTGCCATCATCCATGTAGACAGCTCCATCTGCATAATCCAGTTCTTCCAAGCGATGGGTGACCCACAAAGCTGTGACCTTCTCAAGACCACCAATAGTGTTCCTAACAGCCTTTATCACACCCATCTGATGAGCAGAACATGAACTCAATCATCATACTGCTCCAATGTTTGGTATATAGAAGTTAAAGAACATGAATAATTAAGCATAAATGTTCAACTTTTATGGAAATTAACTAGACGGATATATTCGGTGAGAAAGCTTTTCCTCATGTAACTGCAACTTCAAAATTAGAGAGCCATCAAAACATTTGCATCAAAGAACTAAAGTTTTAAACTTATATACAGATGCACTCGAACCAAAAATATTTGATGAGATATAAACTGGAGGCGTTGTACAAATTGTCCAGCAAAAAAAACAAACGAGTATGGTCCCAAGTACAAATTGGCCATTTATTCAAAGATATGAAGGGCATGAAGATTTTTTTTACAGCCTTTTCTATTGCAACTTACAGTTAGCAATATTTCTGATGGCAGCATATTGGCTAGCAAGAAAAAACAGAATTTTAATATTGATCCAAAAAAAGGGTGTCAAACAATAGTCAAAAAGCTAAGTGGCATGAAATTTTCAATGAAATGAACACAACTCATTCGGAATTGACTAGAAAAAAGTTCAAAGCTAAAAGAGGGTGTGTGTAATTTTGTGAATTTGTTGAGTGACATGTACGAACATTAATTTTCATGTCAACCAAATATATAAATTAGTTCACATAGAAAGCATTCCAATAGTAGTATTAGGACGTTGATGCATAATGGAAGAGAGCGTCTTACATAAAGACAAAACCATCAAAGATTGAAATTTAAGGCAATTCGTAGGTGTTCTTTTCAAAAGTTTCATTGGAAAATCATACGTTTCTTTGGGAAATCTTATAATACAAATATATTTCTTTCTCCAAATAAGTTTTTAAGTTATTTTAGAAATTATGCCTTTTAAAATGCATTCAATGAAATATTTTTAAGGGAGAAATATGTATCATAAACCAGTGTTACTAGAATCACACCAGCCGCTGAACTAGTGTGGAATTTGGTCCAATCAAAACCAGTCCAATTGTCAGTCAAACGGTTGAACTAGATTATAAAAAGTACATAAAAAAAGAATAATCATTTAAAAATATAGAATGTATTACAAAAATTAGCCCAACTTTATTTAACTAATCTGACCGGTCAAAAAAGGCCAGTTCAATTGGCCAAAACTGATCATACATTGGTGTTAACTAGTTATCGACCAAACCCAGCTTTTGTTTTTGGATCAGAGTGACTAAGGCACTAGTTGGTAATCTGACTAGTTAGACTGGGCAGCCCTGTCTGCTTTTGATAACTATGTTATAAATGGAGTATTGTTAACAATGGTTGTGCCTGTATCTCAGGGTCCAAGAAACATAAGAAACATGAAAAGGCAATATCATGGATCGCATACATACTTGTCAAATGCCAGAGACCAAGAAACAAATTAGTGGTTGCCTTGACATGAATTCTCAACCTTAAGAATAAAGGTCAGGATTGCCTCCAAATATAGTCTCAATAACCATGTTTCAAATGGAGTATTGCTAACTATGGATGTGCTTGTATCCCGGGGTCCAAGAAACAGATGAAACATGAAAAGGAAGTAGCATGGTTTCATGGTATTATTGTCAGATCCGGAGACTAAGACAACAGATCAGTGGTTCAACCATCTCGAAATGAATTTTCAACCTTAAAGCATAAGCTTCAGGTCTGCAAGTAGCAGGTCTCCAAGGCTGGTTTTATAACTAGTCTCATTCTTGTAGGAAATGCAGCAACCTGTTTGTAACCCAATTGACAGACTGGTTTTCTACCCAATATTGGGGAAGACTCTCAAGCCACTCCTGAATTTCAGAGAATAAAATTCCTCTCCTCCTCTTAGGTACTGGATTGTCAATCAAAAGCTAACATGCAGGATTTGCCAATTTTGGGACATTGTGGATGGCATGAACAGGGCCATGATTTTCTTAGGTTGAGCATTTTTTTTTTGGCCATAGTCAGTGTTCAACCGCCTAGGTGGCCAAAGGCCTTTCCCACCCGCATAAGGGGATAGGCGGGCTGCGTAGGCATTTTGTGCCTAGGTGCCCAAGGCACGCCTAGGTGGCTGCCTCGAGGCGGGTGATGGAAGGAACCTTCGGGTCTTGGGTGGATCTTGAATTTGCTAACTGTTTTAGGTACAGATTTGCATTCCCCTAAGCATGGCCCAGCCATTGTCCATACTGTGTTAATGGAAGCCCATTGTGTTAAGGTGTTAAGGTGGGTGCCAACTCTTTGCAACTATTGGCATTGTAAAATACTTCTACTACCCCTACATCATTTCAATCTTGTATTTCTTTCCCTGAAGTAACCTATGTCTTTCAATTTTCAAAAGGCAAGTCACCCTGTAACCAATTATGATTAAGATCCCCAAACATCATGTGCCAATGTTGCAGCTACAGCTCTAAACAGCAGTAGATCACATATAAAAAAAGAGAAGTAATCAAATAGGAAAAGAAAATCATGGGATCATTTCCAAGCACGCTACTAATTATCTGGGGCTCACAACAATAGAGAAAGACAACGCATGGCAGATTCCTGTGTAGACTACGGTATATCATACTCCAAACTACATCCACATCTGCTCACACTAATGGATGGTGACAAACTAATTCTACCATAATGAGTTTGCATTTCAGCCCCACTCCAGTCATCACAATAGAAACGGACAAATGGACACAGCCTATAGGATACCATAGCTACACTTTCACGCAGAAACCCAGGATGCAACAGTAGCACAACATTATCAAACTCGTATTCTTAGGAAAATGGCATAGCCACTCCTAAGAAAACATCAAATAAGCTGTACTACCTGCATGGATTCGCCTATGAATCCATGCTGGTATGAGATAGAAAACTTGAATTGTAAGTTTCAAAGGAACACTTCAAAAATAGGAACAGAAAAGAAAAAATCAACCAGTAAACAACTCAGGATTTTTCTAATATGAACAAGTGATATGAAATGGAGAAAATATAACGAAACTATTTTAATTTATCATGACAGGTGCTGGACCTGATCATTTTCATCCAGAAATGTGGTAAGCTCATCTAGAAGCAATACTCTGCTTGATTCAGCCAAAGCGCCTGCAATAGCAACCCTTTGCTTCTGACCACCACTAAGAGTTTGGATTGGCCTCTGGAAAACATACAATCATGCAGTTCTTCAGACTAAACATGCTCCATATGTGTTGGATTAAAGGTTCATCAGTCTATTTAAAATGCAAGATGTATATAACATACCAGCAAATATTGTAGCATGCCAACAGCTTCTAATGATTTCATAACTCGGGATCTCACTTCATCAACAGTCAAATTCAACTTACCAAGCCCAAAAGCCACATCTGCTTCTACCGTAGGCATTACCACCTGCAGAAAACGCAAAAGAAGGAAACAGGACAAAAAAGATAGGAAAAAAAAAAACTCTGAAGGCTGATAGCATAATGACCTACGTGGAAAAATTACAGATCCAAATGTAGTAATAATAATGGGAAAGGTATTCCCAAACAAAAAAATATCTCCCCAAGAACAATTTTTGAACCATCAACTGGATCATATTATCCATATGCCGATCAGAAAAGCAACAAAGGGGATCAAAATTATAGAGTTCCAGGCTCCAAAAGTTGGTAAGCAATGAAGCATTTTAAGGATTTTTAGGGAACTTACTGTCCGGCTTTCACGGATGGAGGAATTTTAAAAATCCAAACAAATACCAAGGATACTATCTTGGGAACTGGATAATTGGATTATCTAATATAACAAAGAAACTTGCCAATTCTCTTCTTGAAGAGATGATTTGGAAATATAGATCTTTCCATTATCCCCTCTTCTATGGAGTACGGACCAGTTAGCAAGTTGGCGAATAATAATATATCGGCCAACCAAAACATCAGTAATAAATCGGTTCTATTTCAAAAGCCAGAGGAAAAAATCTGGTAAAAAATGCAGATTGCCAAAAAATAAGGCAAATAATAGAATCATGTGAATATTTCAAATTTGGCTCAAAAAAAGGAGTGAAAAAATTGGATATGTAACGATGACAAGATATAGAATTATGATTTGCAGTTATTATATAGATACATTAAAGCCATTCAATAATAATTTTATGGCCTGACCTAGTGTCTTTAGAGTAGTTCACAATTTATTTTTTTTGAGCAAAAAAGTTAAGTGTATTATGTATATAAAGTAAAGAAGTTAAAAGAGATTGAGAGATACAAAAAGTAAGCTACCCTAAAGTTGAGTGCCCTATACAAAAACCAGTGTTTCAAAATGCGGCCGCATCATGTAGTATGCGCTGGGCTCCGTATCAGAAATCACCGCATATGCAGTTTGGAGATATATACATCGCATCTCTCCGCATCAGAGCCGCATAGAGCATAAGGCGCATCACGTCGCATACTGAGGGGTATTAAACACCTTAAACAACATTTTTGAGCCACATTCGTGGCTTTTTTGTGATCCAAATGATCAAAGAGAAAATTTAGGTAGAAATTTTTCTGGTGAAGATCTTTGATTTGGGGATTTGTTGATACTTGGATATTGATTTAAACCTTTTGGGTATTGATTTGGGGAAGTTTAAGTGAATTTGTGACGAAAAATCGAGGGTTTCAAAGGCCGTAAAGAAATCGACACTTGCTTCAAGAACCGGTAACTTTTTTTTCCTTCTACAGCAATCCTTGAAAATATGCCAAACATAAAAATCCGAAAGATCGAAATTGTGTGATTTGTATGCTCTGTGGAAATACTTTTTTTTTTTGAGAGAGAAGTTAACTATTTCATTGAAGAAAATAAGAGTTGTACAAGTGTTGGGTCTAGCGTCCCTTACAAAAATTGGGAGCCAAATGAGTTAGCTTAGCAAAAATGGTGGAAGGGTTTATATAGCATCCTATTTACAACATGAAGTGAGTAGAGCACAAAAAAGGAGAGAGGCCCAGGTAGCTTAAGAAGGTCGAAGATTGTCTGTAAGGTCGGCTCCGTCATTGGCCATGATGTCTACGAGTTCCTTGGACATCCTAAATGTATGCCTCCATGAGACGCTGATACCCCTGCAAATGAATTCTCTCATCAAAGATCAGCAGTAGATACCAGGGTGGTATAGACTTTCCGGATGCTCAAGAAATGATGTTGTATGAGTCCCCTTCAACTATCAAGTGGGATCCCCAAGATGGGTTAAAGTGCTTGAGCCGTATCAACAGTGCCTTTGCTTCAGCATGTTGTGAGTCAGTATAGCCAACGGATTCAGCGTACGTGAGCACAATATTCCTTTCATGGTCTCAGAATACACCCCCAGCCCCAGCTGGCCCTGGGTTACCCCTTGAGCCACCAGCGAATTGAGTTTGATAGTTCTTCCGTGGAAATACTTATATGGGTGGTATTTTTCAACAAAAAGAACACTTAGCCGGTATTTCTAGGAATGTAAGAGCATGCCAACAAGTAACCGACGAGATAAAAAAGGAGATTAAAGAATACATGGATAGCTTGAAAAAAGAAAAAGAGAAGAAAAAAATAAAAAAAAAAGAATTGCTTGATGATATTCAATTATTTAATGATGATATTGATGATAATGACGATATATCAAAAGTTGCAATGCCGCAAAGGGTACTCCAATCTCAAAAGAGAGGGTTATAAATATTGGTGATAGTGTTGAAAAAAGAACATCTCTCTCTAAGGGGCCAACGGATGTTTTTTTCAACCATAGCCCCGAAATTGTGGTTCAGGAGAGAGAAAAAAACAAAACAAAACACAATTGAAAATAGATACAAGAATGCACAAAAGAAGTTGGTACGTAAGTATATTTCAAAGAGGTTTTACATGGCCGGCATTCCTTTTAATACTATTACCCTCGATAGTTTTGCATATATGGCCTAGGGCTTGTTCCTCCTTCACTACATGAGGTTAGGGAGCCCTCATTGAAGGATGTTGTATTTGATGTCAACAAAATTTTGATTTCTCAACTAGAAGGGTGGGAGAAATATAGGGCCACTATTATGTGTGATGGTTGGTCCGATGGGAAGTCGAGGGCATTCATTAATTTTTTGGCTAACTACAACAGGTACTTTTTTTGTTAAGTCTGTTGATGCATCAGATAAGTCACATGATGCTACATATTTATGTGGCTTGATGAATGAGATTGTAGAGTTTGTTGGAGAGAAAAATGTGGTACACATCATCACTAACAATGGTATCAATTATGCTGCAGCTGAGCATTTCTTCACTTTGATGAGGACGCATATGTTTTGGACTCCTTACGCAGCTCATTATGTTAATCTTATGCTTAAGGAAATGGGTATAACATCTTTATTTAGTAGGGTGATTTCAAGAGCTATATTTGTTGCTGGATTTATTTACAATCACACCACAGTCCTAAGCATGATGAGGTCTTTTACAAAGAAGAGAGAATTAATGAGACCAGGTATCACTAGTTTTGCCACGTCATTCTCACTCTTCGAAGCCTAGCCAAGCAAAAAAGTGCCTTGAGGACCATGTTTGCTTCAGAGCAATGGAATCAAAGTAAATCGTCAAAGCAGAAGGACGGGAGAAAGGTTGAACAAATTATTTTGAATACATCTTTTTGGAGTCAAACAATTCTTGCATTGGAGGTGGCTCGCCCTTTAGTGAGAGTGCTTAGACTGGTTGATGGTGATGTGAAACCTGCTATGAGCTACATACATGAGGCAATGACTAGGGCAAGAGCAGAGATAAAAAATGTTTTAAAGGATGATGAAAATAAATGCAAAGCTATACTTGAAATTATTCATAGGAGATGGGATACCCAGCTTCACAGGCACCTCCATTCTGACGGTTACTTTCCAAACCCATCTCTTCACTACAAGAATGTGCAAAATTTCGTCAAAAAGATGAGCCAAGTGCCAAAGGGAAGGGGACTGTGAAGAGGCCCAAGCAATGGTGTTCTTGAATCTCCTTCAATTTGTAGGACATGGCCCCATAATGGATTGAAATTTCTGAGGCCCACGAGAAGGGCTAGGCCTCAACAAAGGTGGAATCCACATGTCCTATAGGGATGGAATAAGACTGGATAATACTGCCAATATGGGATTTGAAAGTTCCTCCAATGCCTAAAGGGCTTGGGTTACCGAGAAAGCAACCATCAAAGTTGAGTTAGATGTTGCCAACCTCTGATGGTCTCCACAAGGATGATCAAGGATTGATGGGAGAACACAAAAGGAGGAGGGCCTGCCAATTCTGGGTAAGATCAGTGTAAGAGGAGTGTCTAAAAGTATGGTGACACGTGGCCCAAAAGGTGACAATATCTAGAATCTTATCCACGTAGCCTTGAGGTGAACTTTTCTCACCTCTAAAAATTTTGTTGTTCTGTTCTAACCAGATGATCGAAATAGTAGCTGATAGTGATGCTCTCCATAGGGTGACTCAAGATTTGGACCAAGGGGGTAAGAGGGAAGTGCGAAAAGGTGGGGAATGGACTCAGGGGTGAACCAAGTCCAATTAAAAACAGTCAGCAAACTGCTCCAAAGAGAAGTGGCAAAATCACAATGGACGAAAAGGCGGTTGTTGGTTTCTTCAGCTGAAGTGCACATAATGCATCTGTTAGGTAATGGGAGGCCCCTACGTTGAATATGGTCGATGGTGAGAGCTCTATGGAGTAGTGCTAGCCACACGAACATCTGGATTGGGGTAAAGAAGAACCAGGCTTTCATCAATATAGAGGGAGGATTGGAGGGAGGGAAGGGGGGGGGAAGTGATAAAGCGGTACATGGATACCATAGTGAAAGCACCCAAGAGGGCTGGGGTCCAAATGAGCTTGTCTACCCTAGAAGTGGGGAAGAAAGACCTGGTCAAGCAGGGCTGACATGGTGGAGAAGAGGAATAGATTCCATAGGGTCCCTAGCCACTCGATAGAGAAGAGGAATAGATTTTTCAGCTTGGATTGGCCAATCCAAAGGTCTTCCCAGAAGCAAATGCAATGTCCTCAGCATGGATGAAGGCAAATGTTGGAGAGGAATACGTCCCTGCTATAGACAATGGACTATATTTATTTAGAAAACACCACTAATAAGCCTTAGCTAGCCCGTAGGTTTCCAAAGGCCATAGATACGACCACAGGATCTGCATGGGAGGAACCAGTCTCCACTACCAAGGCCATATTTGTGGCAAAGGACTCACCTCCACAGCTGATCAGGTTGTGAGGCATATTGCCACCACCACTTCCCACGCTATAAGATGGAATTTGCAGAACCAGACGAAATTCCTTATTAACTTTTCCAATCCAACCACAGCAGCAGGCATGTGTAATATAGACATCTGAAAAATGGGGATGCTTGATAGGGTAGCCTTAATGAGGATTTTTCAACCCACAAATGAGAGAAACCTACCCTTCCAGCCTGTGAGCC